TTCTTAGAAAAATGAGGTAGCTGAAATTTATTTTATTTTTCTCAACAACGTCGCTTAAACTTAAGGAAGTCCCTTATTGCTATAAAACTAAACAAGAAAATGTGACTTTCAAGTTTTGATCCGACAACGAAGAGCTAGTTGAAACCAGTCTTGGCAAAATTTGCGGGTATTATTAGTTAAACTATGCTTTGCGGAATTCGGACAATTTTCAATAATTATGCGGGCCTTTTTACGGAACAAGTGAAATTCCGCGGGAAAAAATTCAGAAATTTTTCCAATACAGATGATAATTTTCCAAAGTTTTTTGACGACCAAAACATTTTTTTTCATTCTATTTGAAAAAATTTTGGGAACTTGAGCTTTTGAAGCGTCGAATTTTTCATTTGAAATCAAAAAATGCGCAAAAAAAAGTCACGAATTTTTTCTACTTTAGCAGAGAAAATCTAAAAAAAAAACATTTCGGAAAATTTTTCTCAAAAATATTCTTTAGTTTGCTCAAAATGTTCAATCATGCGAAATTTTTGTGGAATTCTGCGATTTTAAATTCTAGGCTTATTGTGGGTTAATAATTCGGGATTATTTGCCTCAGATTAATTCAGAGTTGGTTAAAACATATTCATGTCTGGAAAAATTGCAACATGCTATTTTTTTGTCACATCAATTTGTGTTTTTTGTTTAGATAACATTTGTCACCTCCAAGTAAAATTCAGTTAAATGCATATTAAGACAAATTAACAAAAACTTTTAGTGTTTTGATAACACAATTAAAGCTTTTTGGCAATCGTTTTTGTTTATAAACAGTTTCGTTGATTTTACCGTTTAAAAGTATTCCGTTATTTCACTTAGAAATTAAATTCAATTTTCAGATTTTATCTGAATTATCATCCCGCATAATCATTAATTGTTGTTCCGACTATTGAAAATGCCAGGAGCTTTGTATTTGATCGTTTTGGATTTTTTCTCTTTTTTCTTTTGTTTTCCACGCAAAATCAGCAACCAAAAATAATAATTGGAGAGAGTTGAAAGTTATATCATATTAAATCAATGTAGTAGTGATTAGAACGATATTTATATATTTTAAATCTTTTTTCTATGTAGAGAAAAACTTGTTTCAAATTTTTTGTTCTTTGTCTAAATTCGAGCAGACAGAGCTCAAAAACTCAAAAAAATGCAACAATTTTTACTAGTCATTTTTCTAGAAAAACACTTTCCAATTTGCGTATTTTACTATGGCTGTCGAATTTGCATAATCTTTATTTTTTCGTTCAGCTCCTTTTATCACACCACGACAAAACAAAAGACCTTAACTTGAAAAAAAATTGTTGTATTTTTTAAGACTATGATCGGAAAATTCTGTGCTACTTGCACAGTAACCGCTATCCTTGTTTTACATTTGGATACCTGTCCTTCTCTTCATTTTCTTTTTTTGGCATTTCAAATAGATTGGGAGTTCGTATTAACAATAATTGAAGTGAAACTTTTGGCCAGTCCTGAATTGAACTCAACTGTTGAGATCTAGACTGGTGAAATTCAGGATAGGGACTACGCATGTCTCTCGGATGTTATCGTGTAAAGATACTAGCGGCCAGCCTCAGGTCTGTGCATTTCTGAACGAGAACTGACTAATGCATGCTAGCTCCGCTCCGCACGTGAGCAGGTCTGATTCTGGTCTTGAGCAGGTCTGGACTTTTGACAAAATCCATATTTGTCCCAGAAAAGAAATAGACGTGATGATGTTCAAATGAAACATGGATCATATCTGCACAAGATCTGAAATAAGTAAGATTTTCAGCAGATCAGATTTTAATTTTTAGTGTTACTTATGTGTTACTTTATAGCCGTCTTTGTTACTAGCTTTAACAGCAACTGGCCAAATTCAACTTCATTCATAGTAACTCAGCTTCGTCGACCGCATTGAACAGAAGACACATTTCAAATTGTTACAATTTGAAAACCTCAAATTTTCGAGACTTAGGTTTTTTGTTGTTGAGGATAGAAAACAAATGGAAACTGTCTATAATTCAGTTGGCTTATATCAGTGAGCAAACGCCCACTTAATAAAATTGTTGCATGACCGCAGTGACAAAAAAGTATAAAAATCAATTATCTCTGAAAATTTATACAGATTTCAAAGATGTTATGTTATATAGTAAAACTACAAAATCTTAGTTATAGCAAGACTGCTCGTATCAGGGTGAAACCCTGAAAGCTCTGATTGCCTTGTAAGGTCTATACCGTATGATTCTTGTTAAAAAATTGACAAAAAAAAAAGATTTTTGACTTTTCTTGAGTTTTTTGAAAATCATGCCCTCACACGCTATGTAAAGTATAAAGTTATATCTTCAGCATAAAGCAATCTATTCCGTTGGCCATAGACCAAGCTTCAGTTGAATTTGAAAAAATTTATGACATGTATTGGATCTCCGCTTACGCGTTAGTGGCACGAAATATATTGCGCGTTAATGGTCACAAACTGGCTAAGTTGGCAAAAACTAAACCCCATAATTTTTTTTAAATAATCGTCACAGGTGGAGTATTTTTCAAATTTGACCTTCGGACAACAATAAATTTGGAGTGATACAAAAATCTGTAAAAAATGTCCTGTGCAGAAATCGAAGTTTTTCCGGACAAAAATTTACCCGAGCAATTTTCAACTGATTTTTCCCCTGTAATCATTGATGACCAATGATGTTTTCTCATCAGCTTTCGTACATGCTATTATTAGCTTGCATGCAGGTTATATACAGATCATCTAAACTTCATATACAGGTTAGCTTAAATCAAAATACAGACTATATAAAGATTACAGTCAAAAAATGTACAGATTCTATACTTTTTTCTAATTAGACAATAAGATTTTTATATGCAGATTGTTTGCTGATTTTCTAAAATGTTTGTCCGCATAAATGTAAACAAATTGAATTATGGATAAAGTGCAGGTTTTGATTTAACTTTTGTGCTGATGTTTGATCTGAAGAAAGATCAAAGCCATTAAAATTCAAAAAGTCAATAAAAATTATTTTTTCTAATTTGAATTTTCTCGATTGATTTCAATGGTTTTTCAAAAGTCCGCTAAAATTGTAATAGTCCATCTGCCATTTGAGAAAATCCACATAAAAAAATACTTTTCTTACCGCGGCAATCCTTAGGTTGCAAAAGTTTAGAGTAAACACTTGAAACTTTGCGGTATTGGAAGAAACAAATTCACTCGAGTGAGTAAGCCCTATAAATTTTAGAATAATAAATCGGTTGTTCTACACCGATGTTCTACAATTTATATACAGATTATATACGGAATACATACAGAATATTATGTACTGATTATATGCAGATAATCTACAGACTAATTACAGGTTTTATAGAATAGAAAACTTGATTATTTGGGCATTAAATCTACTCATTTTTGATAAAACAGATTCAAGTCTATATGTATGGAATCGATTATCGTTTGCAAACTGGTTGGGGGTAAATCAATTCCAAAATTACGTTAGTCTGTAGATTTTTCAGACTACAATCAATTTTTATCCTTTTTTGTCACTGCGGGTCACCATTAAAAGTTTACCCGGATTCTTCAGAAAACTAAACTTCAGCCCAAACGATAGTGATTTGGCCGAACTTAAAGTTCGTGAAAAATTTATACACTTGTCCAAAATTGCTAATTATTTCAGAAAAAAAAGAAAAACATTTTAAAAAAGAAAAAACGTAGCAACGACTAGGATGTTCTTAATTATAAGACTTATATACAAATATTTAGAATAAGTTATATTGAAATTTAACCCAGCATTACGAAGACAAATTTTGTAATTTCTGATTCCCCAAACTGATTCCGCAACAACCCGGGTTGACCAAAAATGCTAATCATACAATTTTCTTATATGGAAAAATGCTAATCATACACTTTTCATGCAATTCCATAAGTACAGAAAGTTGCATGAAAGATCTTTGATTAGTGATTTTTCATATTTGCAAATTGTATGACCAAAACTTCTCCATGAAACAAAAACATTGATTTTTTATATTTTAATTTCTCAAAACTCTTTGGCTGTGTTCTCAATCAAACACAAATGACAAAAACCTTGTTACTCAAACGTAAAACGTAGAATAACCAAAAATTTGATCGTCGCGCATTTTTAGTGCATTGGACACGGCCTGAAATGTCTAAATAGTGTCTTACACAAATGATACAAGGAAAGTATCAAACTTTAAATTTTGGGCAGAAATTTTCAGCAGTGAATATTTTGAAAATTTGTAACTTTAAATTTTTACACATTGATCAAGAAAATTCAATATTAGTGTATCCAGATCTGCGTTATGCACACATAAAATTAAATTTTGCATGCAAAAATTTTTTTTGAAAAATGTTCGTTTCAGTACAAAATTTGATTTACGGTTAGAAAACTATTTTTTTGGGGGGGGGGGCAATTTCAAATTATTTGGAAAAAGTTTTGTTGTTACCAACAACAAATGCTAGTCATGCAGTTTCCATATTATAAAATTGTACAATTAGCATTTTTTTCACAAACTTTTTCTTTTTTATTTAGTACGATACACCGAATTTTATGCCAAAACACAAAAAAGTTCCTCGAAATGGACGAGTATGGACGTTTTTTTTTGTTCTTCTTTTGTTATTTAATTCTCTTTGGTCGTTTCGACAAATTTTACCAGGCTAAATACTTGTCTCTGCAATTCAGAAACATACAGACACAAAATTTTGTGCCTATCCATAGCACAGTTTGGCCTCGTATTGAATTCTTTGAAAGTCTTTTGCTTTCTGGAAAAAAATAAAACCCCTAATTTTAAATTCAAATTCAATCAACTTTTCTCAATTTTTTTTTATGGTTTGAGAAAATACAAACGGTCAAATTTTGTAGCATCCTTGAAAGCCTTTGTGTAATACCAAACAAAATGCACCTGTCGTTGACGCAATTGAGCAATTTATTATTCTTTTTGATATATGTCTAGCTATCTATGCAAGCCACTTTTGAATGGTACCATGCTTAAATAACAATCGTTGGTTAAAAATGTATATGTATTATTGTTTATGGCTCTGAAACGTCAATAATATTTTAACCTCTCTCTCTAATCGAGGTTTTGGATTTGCGCTGAGCGTTTTGTATTTTTTCACTCATTTCTGCATTTATGAGAAAAACTATAAAATAAAGTTAATCAATAACAATAGTTTTCAGAGAGAATAACGAAAAACAATTTTGAAATAGTATTCTTTTCAAATCTTCATTTTTCTATTGACTATAATCTACCATCAATAGGTGTTGACATTAGGTTTATTTAACTTAAATAAAACTAGTTATTAGTCTAAGAGAGTTTGTTAACTTATTTATAAATTATGACGGCGCTCTCGTCTGAATCAGTGGCAGTAGTCGCGTCCAAATCCGAGCTCCAGCCGACGGCGACTGCCAATGGCGGAGGCGTGGCATCGAACGCCGGAACAAATTCAGCAACTTCCGCCGCCGGCGCCGCAGAAGATTATGCGCAGGTTAGAATTTTGATATTTCAAACAAAAGCACGCACAAAAAGCATACAAAAAAACTTCACGTAAAACCAGAACCCAGACGCTTTCCTTCAAAATAGAAGTCAACCTCTAATTTTTTAATCCAAAAGAGCCTAAAAGGACATTACGTGGTTTGATACAATAGTCTTGAACTTTAGATGGAGACAAAGAATCGAATATTAAGATCAAATATAGAAAGAATCGAAGTGTTGTATTCAGAAATCCGCCCTCCTTTTTCTGAAAACGAACAAGATTAATCAATAATCTCACTTGAAAACGTAAAATGCTTCCATGAGCAGTTTTATGGAAGACGGGAACTTGATTGATTTAAATTCTGCTTCCCACGTCAGCTTTGACTGAATAATTTAAAAACCTTCATCGATTTGTTTTTATTTTGGCTGCAACTATTTTTATTGAATGTTATAGCATTTAATTCCGATTCATAAGGATTTTGGAAAAATTCGGACAAATTAAGAATATAGCTAAGAAATATATAATTCAGAGATTAAACGTTGGTGGATTTTTAGTTGCCCATTATGACCGATGCGGAGTTCAAGGTAATGTATTCACACCTCATTCTCCATATTACGTAATAATTATGTCATAATTAAGAAATGCTTTCTATTTTGTGCAACTGTCATAAAAGGCTTCAATTTTACACAATTATTCCTCAAATCAGAAAAAATTCTATATCCGGAAACAAAAATGGAAAAAAATGAAGTCTAACTTGCTATCGAGATTCACAAAGTTGACAATGATCACCTCACAAGTACAAACTCACAAATGGTAAAACTCATTATATATAGCCCTCCCCCCTGTCGTGTGTTGCTATACCTCCCTGTACCAGACCAAGGTATCTTTATTTTCTTTTAACTGTCAAATCCAGAGTCGTTTTTCATCGGAATCCGCAAAAATTTTGCAACTATCCAAAAAACTGAAGAACATTTTCTAAGACAAAATCACGATAGAACTTGAGGCAAATAAACGAAAAAAAGGGAGACTTCTGTTATCGAGAGACTTTTGCTGGCTTCACCAAATTTAGGATTTTAATGACATTGCTTTTTAATTAAGTTTATTTGAATATAAGAACATCTAATTTAGTAATATATTAGGAACATAGATAGGTCTTCAGTAAACTTTCAGTGACCAGAAAAATATACATTTTTGGTGACAAATCAATTTAGTGACACGAAAAATTTGACGACCTTTTTTTTAGGTCAACCAAATCTATTTTCCGAGCTCTCCTAAAGCACTAAAAAGACGCTTTTTTGGCCAAATTTTCTGCGCCGCAGGCAAATTAAAAAAAAACAGGTAAAAAAGCCGTTTTTGGGCACTTTTTGGAAAATTTAGACGAAAAAAATTGCGTTTTTTTGGCGCGCGCTCCCCCTCAAAGATAGTATATACTGGCCTTTAGAAAAATTTTAGGGTCGGCCGGCCAAAAATGGATTTCTTAAAACGCTCCAAAGGGGGAACCCTTTGGGTCTGCAAGGGGTCGAATCCCTGAGGGGGGGGGGGGCGTATACCATTTAAGTAACATACCATTTTTGTTAAGATTCAGTGACATACAGCTATAATGATACTTGAGGGTTATGTGAATTATAAGTGACCTTTCATTGGCTACTGATGATAGTGACATAAGATTTTAATGATATCACAAAAAACGTTAGTTTGACACCTAAGTGCCGTGCATTTTTACTAACATGGTCTCAGTGAAATCTAAGTTTTAAAAAAAAAAACATTAAGCGTTTCCATTAATAGGAAAACATATTTCTGACGTTGTTAGCAAAACGAACAACGATAATGTTTTTTTTTCACTTTATAGAGGTTTCAAAATTAAGCATAAGGTCGAAATCTGCCCGCGCAAAATTAAATGAAAAAAAAAAAATGTATTTCTGATAGTTAATTAGACTGTTCGAGCCCAATTGAATTAATAGACTTTTAAACTTGCCTGAATTTACTTTGAAAGAATTTTGGAGCCGGATTAATTGGCGTCTTCTTCATTATGCATTAATGGAGATGCAGCGCGCATGAATTATGCCAATTCAAAAAAATCGGAAATCTCAGCCCCCCCCCCAAAAAGTTTAAAATTTTCCAGGTATATTTTCTCAGAACACTAATTGTTTCCGATGGCATAGAATGATTTGTCAAAAATATTAGAAAAAAAACAATTATACGTCATTTTTGTCAGAAACAGCGAAAAAAAATTAATTTATCATTGTAAGATCAGAAATTCAAAAAGTATTTTGATCTCGCAAGAATAGTGATTCCTAAGTCAGCAATATATCAAAAATCAGTACTGTAAATGGACTGATCATTGTTAAGTGGCCACTGATCAGGGCCTGAAACAGCGATAGATATTTTAACTAATTTAGAATAATTTAACTATGGATAACTCAGTGTGGCGATGGTTACTCCAAAAATCAGCGCTGATTCAGCGCAACTCCGAAATTCATCGCTGTTTAAGAATCAAAAATTAGGAATTGATAAAAAAAAACGTAAGAAATTTGACTTAATTTCAAGCAGTGTTAGAGCTCTAATTTGTAAAATTTTCAAAAACGAGCAGTGATTGCCTCATAACTTTTTTTTGTCCTAAGCGGATTTTATGGGCCAGCAACCACGTAATAGAAATAGAACTCACACCTATAACTAGGATTAGATAGGCAGAGGGCTCTTGTATGATTCAGTAGGCAACTCTAAATAATCAAAAAAAATTGAAAAAATATTCACCAAAGACCGGTAAAAAAACGAAAAAAAATTTTCGGCCATTTTTGGCAGACTTTATTTGGCCCCGTACTGCAAAAAAAACTACTTTTTGTTTATTTTTTTAAAAATTCAATTTAGCAATCGATAGTTCATTCCCTAAGATAATTATCATTAGTTATTTGTAGCGCTAGGATTTTTGAATTAGTGATAAACTATTTAACCATTTTTTCACGAAAGGTTTCAGTACCCTTTCAACAGAACTAGTCATTTTTAAAATATATTTCGAACAAACTCTTATTAAAAGTTCAAATGTCTGTTTAGAAAATGAAACAGAAGGTGCAGAATACTAGAATAGCTCTCTCCAAGCAGGGGGCCAGATTCGAACTCCCAATCGACATGAAGTCACTCGAAAGTAAGTTGGCCCAAATTAGGTTCGAAACCAAATTTATTGAAAGACTCGATTTATCGATTTATGCGCCCCTTTTTCTTTGTTTTTTTTTAAACCGTTGGATCTAATAATATACTCACCACTGGTTTATTTATTTGTTGACCCAAAGGTAAAAGTTCCATGCCCCTATCAAATTTTACAAATTTTTTTTCGAGGTTTAGAATTTGCTTTAACCGAAGATGTTTACATTTAAAATTGGGTGCAAAGTTGATTTTAGATGCAAAATAATCTAAAATTAATTGTGCAACAGGTGCAAATGTTTTACCTTTGGATTAAAAAATGACACAGCCAACACCAGAAACTAAACTCAAGGCATCAATAAAAACGCATCAAGTTTTCATTGATAGTCTTTATCTTAAATTTTTCCAATAAGAGCCTTAAAAGTTCAAATAAATGTTATTTATGGGTGGGAAAATACCACTGAACTGTTTTTTCATCTGATGCCTTCTAAAATGGATCGAACAACAATCAAGTTAAACAATGCGCCAAACATGTCAAATGGTTCAATGAACTTGACTCAAATTTACGATTGTTATCTCTTTTATATTACTGGAAATAAATTGTCGATCTGCGAGGGTGGGAATTCTTATGCAAATTGAGCGTTTTCTATAAGCACGATTAGCAAACACGATAAATTTTGGAAGAAATTTGATAATTTTGTCTCGGCCGGGTAGTGAATCATGTTCTTTTTATTGTTATGGTAGTGATACTTCCTTGTATAAATGTTGAAAAGAAGCAAAATAAATCATGTTTTCATAACTTGCTCTGATCCTCAAGGTTGATTTTTTATTCGAGTACTTCTTGAAAAGAGGGAAGGAACTATGGATTAGCAAGTTATTATTCGATCAATTTTAGGTACCTCAAGAAAAACTAGCAAGAGTTCAAGTGTAGTATCTTATACTATCCTTTTTGATCGTGTCTCGAATTTATAAGAAAACTAAAAACAATTTATGTCGAGAAAAAATAGTGTGAAGATTTCTGGTTTTCAGACAAAATTAGACAAACATTGAGTGACTGACCTCCTCACTGCAAATTAATTGTTCTGTTACCGTTTTTTTCTCTATTTTGTAGTTTTTCATCATTTTCAATTGCTATTTTCTAATGAAAATAACCAGAAATTGAAAAAAAAAATAAAAATAAATATATTTTTAAATCCTTGTAGTCGAAACATACATTGTAGTCGGAACCCAAATCCTTGTAGTCGGAACCCAGCAACCAGCAATTTTTACTTAGTAATGAAGTTTTTTTGTCATCCTAATTTTCACTGTATTTATCCGAAAAAGTCATAGTCGAAAAGAAAGTTCCGAAAAAAATGTTTCCAAGAACCTCTGCCGTATATAAGCACACGCACTGATGATATGAAAAACAGCAGGAGGAAAAAACGACAAATAACTCTCTTTTTTTCGATATTTCAGCCCATTCGGCCGCGGAGTATCTGGTGGAGAGGTGTCACGTGACCAAGCGCAGGGAGCATCTGTACAAGAAGCACTTCCAGAACTACGACAAGGACAAAGACCAAAAACTCAACTTGAAGGTCAAAAAAAGTTTGGAATAAGTTTTTTTTCCCGTTTAATGGATAATTTTATAAGATCTTTTTCTCATAAAATAGTGCTGACAAATATCCAAAATTGCGTAAATAGCAGTATTAACACAAAAAACGCATACATGTTTTTTGTTTTAATTTGATATTTAGATTAATGGACTCAGTTTAATGAAAAGCACAGGGGTAAAGTTGTTAAAATTATCCCAGCCAATCACAAACTTAGAAGATTATTTTTTCATTCTCAAAAACAAACTTTGCTCTACCGGGATGTAGAATGGGTTTTAGAAACTTGCATGCATTTATTATACTGTGAATAATTCTTCAGAATATTCTAGAACATTCTAGAACATGCTAGATGATTCTAGGAGCTTGAGAAAGCGATGAAGGATGTGTTCGTAGACACAATAGACAGTGAGACGGTTGAGATTGTGACCATTCTAGCTGGTGTGAACAAGAACAGTACTAGCTCGGCAGCCGGTGAACTAGTTCCATTCAACCTTTTCTCAGCCATGTGTGCACTAAGCGAGAGATTAATGCACCAAAAATACAGGTAACTTTTGTATTATTAATTTAATAATCGTAATCATAATAATTGAACTTACACAAAACCATAGAGATAATTTTTTAATGGATTGGTTTACAGATTACATGACTTAGTAACAACAGCACAATTAATAAAACTTTTGAGTCATATTCAGCAATACTGAAATATTGGGTTGTAAGTATGACACAGCAATTGAAACTTCACCACCAAAAGTTTCAAATGAAGCATAACTAAATTTGGAAGAAAAGTGTAAAAAATAAATAAAAAAGACATCAGTCTGTAACGTCGTTTAAGGAACATTACAAGATAGTCTCAGTGAAAGAGCTGTGCATACCAGAGCTATTCAAAACGTTTGTTAGTTTTATGCAAAGATTCGAAACTTGAATTCCTATAAGAGCAATTTTAGACTTAGATTTTGATAAATTAGAACATGAAAATGGAACATTAAAAAATTAAATCAACGATTAAACTCACTGGCAAAAACTATAAGTAAATTTGAGCAAGGATGAGAAAACTAATTGTATTACACATTTTCTGTTTCCAAGTTTTCACGATAAAGTCAGCAGTTTTAAAGATAGTCACGAAAAAACACTTTACTATAGTTTTCGTCAGTTATATATTTAATACAAATCATATAGAAAAGATAGTTTTTTTCGATGTAGAGATGTATGGTTTGGAAAACTATTGTATAAGTTTAATTCTTAGTACAAATTGTACTGCTTAGTTAAAACCTCGTTTGGCTAGGTTTATCCGGTTTTTTGATGACCTTGCATTTAAGAGTTCACATTTAAATTCACAATTGATTTTTGATTAACCTCTAGTACAGAAACAATTTATGATTATGATTAATAATAAAATGTTTTAAAGCAAAAAAAAAAAGAATTTCACAAAATTCACAAAAATTTCTAAAAAACAATTACTGCCTGGGAGACACCATTGGATCTTCAGTTCCGAATTCAAATGTAAGTTCAATTTATAAACCAATTTGATCAATGGATGCGCAGGTCTGTTTATATTTATAAACCAATTTGATCAATGGATGCGCAGGTCTGTTTCAACCCTGATGGGTTGAACCTCTTTCAAAAAAAATCAAATCTGTAAGTGCCAATGGTCTCTTCGGAAAAAGTTTTAAGTCCGGACAGACAAATTTGATAGTCCTAGAAGTGTACCAAAAACAACCAGAAAAGAGACATGGGCCGAGGATGTCCCCCATATCAATGGGCGAATAGATTTGTTCATTTTTAGATTGGTTTACCTGACGCGAGTTTATTCCACGATCAATGAATATTGAAAACTTTGATTAGGTTTAGGTTAAGGCGCAGATCTAGGAATGTTAATAGGGGGGGGGGGGGGCGGATTTACAAAAAAAATTTGAAAATTTGGTCGACTTTTTTTTTGATTTTTTGACCTCTCCCAAGTTTTAAATACCCTTAGTTGACCAAGTTTTCTGCGCCGTAGCCAAATTTTTGAAACAACAGGCCAAAAACTGCGTTTTTAGGCTTTTTTTGGAAAATTTCGACTAAAAAATTGCGTTTTTTCGGCGCGCGCTCCCATCTCAAAACTAGTATATATTGGCGCCATAGAACAATTTTAGGGTTCATCACCAAAAAGGATATCTCAAAATAGTACAAAGTGGGGACCCTTTATCCGCTACTGAATAGGTTGATAAAAAATGCCATATTTCTGATACAATATGTTTTGATACGTATCAACTAAATTTCGATCTGAAACCAGTCAATTTTTGAAATGTTTTTGGGGACGGCCTGACCCCTCGCATTGAAGAAGATCTGGCGATAAAAGAAACTTGAACTGTTTTCGCCGACTCTACCCTCTACCCCCTTGAGGCCATTTTTTGTATTTTTTAAATGATGAGTTTTTGTCCAGAGTCGCTCACTCATAGAGTAATTTCAGATAAGGTACATCTTATATTTGGCCGGATAGATTCGTGCAACTTTTTAGTCTAATACCAATCTTAATTTTTTTTTTATATCTAGTCTCAATAGATCTAGTGTATACTGGTATTTGCGAGGCTCGGAATCAAGAACTGTTCTGAAGAAGAGCAACTGTGTGCTAAGTTAAATTTATTCAATTCTGGCTGAAACTATAAATAATTTCAGCCTTACAAATTATTGTAAGTGTTAATTATGGATCATGATTGGTTAGTTCTAAGTATTTTACAGGGATGGTTTATCAAAAAAATAATAGGATAAAATAAATACTTGCTTTGAACTGGTTCCAATGATTAATCATTGATTTTACGCTGTTTTGTATGAAGAGAACAAGTTTTTGCATTTGAGTAAAGAAGCCACACGCCATTTTTCTTGGCAGTGGACTATCTGCTAAAATTTAGACACAAAAAAGCATAAGTAGGGTTGAGTAGTAGACTTCATATACCTCGTTTAGTGATATACAAAATGATACATTAAACTGTGCGAATTTTCCCAATGTATATTTCTGACAGCACCGGAGAAGCGAGTCTGGACCCCCTCTATAGCCAAAAGGACAAACTGGAAGACGCCGACTTCTCGTCCCTCGCCTGGAAACTCCACGGACTCAACATCAAACCAGAACTAGCTACTCTAATGTACGTCATACTCGACCCAGACGTCTATCTACCCAAGAATATTCTAGAACAAAACAGAGCATCAAATGCTAATAATAACAACAACAATAATAGTTATGTCAATAATGAAGTGGATGGAGGTGTACCTGGTCAGAATGCTCCGAATGTTCCGACTATTACCGAGGAAGACGCGGATAGCGCGACGGCTGGGAAGGCACCGTCAACCGCGGAGGAAACAGCGGGAACACCCCCCAAATCCCAGGAGACAACTAAATAGATCTCACAAGAAGTCCACTGAAAAAAAAACAATAATCAAATAAACAATAATCAATCAAGTCAGTTTAGTTTTATGAATGAAATGTTTTTTTTTCATAGCTTGATCGTCTCAAAGATTGTTTGGAAAAGTAAGTATGCTGGTTACAATTGAACGCTTTTCAAACCATACATCCGTGGATAGCAAAATTGAACATCGTCCAAATATCGCTGGGAAAAAGCTTTGTAATTCACTATAAAAATCGAACCTTTTAATCAATCGCAAAACTTCTTTTTTTGACATTTCGTAACTTTTTCTACCCTATGTGGGTTTGATTGTCTAAATTTTTGCAAAAAAAAAAACGTTTTTTTTTCAACAAAAAAAATTTTGCACACGGAAATTTTAGGTAATCTGAAAACATGGTCTTTCTCTATCAAGTTTTCCTCTTGAACCGAAAAAACTAATTGAACTGGTGAGTGTATTGGGGTTGTGGTCATGAAGATGCTAAAACCCTCCTCTCAGTCAAAAGGAGGGTGGTTCGAGGCCTACCATGAGCCGTGCTCCTTGCTTCAGGATGAGGCAACATTACCCAGCCCAAAAAATACTCAAAAATATTCAAAGTAGGTGTTTAACAGGGGCTCAACTGTGGTTCCCCGTAACAAGCTGAACACCTGCTTTGCTATTTTTTTCCTCTGGAATATTTTTCAGCTAAATTTGGTGGTTATGCTGGGTCTTTTGAAAAAATTTAGAGGGATTAGTGACTTTCGTCATTGTTTTTGGCACCACTTTCTTCTAATTTTTGAATAATATTTTTTTGCTGGCTCCACATACCATGATTTGCTGACCAAAAAGCAGAAGGCAGAAATTTTTTAATTTTCTGCGAAAAACTTTCTTCGCAATCAAGTAAACACTTTTCATCGTTTCATCGTATATTTTCTAAATTTTTCAACATCAGTATAGTATTGGCTATTTTCCAGCTTCCCAACCCCTTGTAAAATTACAACAAAAAATTGTTTAAAAATTGTCCATACGGCAATCTCCAGGTGATAAATGTTGTACAAACTCGTTCACTTGTTCACGCTGACACGTTTTACTCCAGTTTAGAACATCGAAAATTATTTCTTTATAGGTTTTGTAATTTGATATTTGAAAAAGCAAGTTGAGACTGGAAAAGAGCCGTCAATATTTTGAAATTATCAAAGAATTAAGCCTGTTGGTATCAAGGCAAGTACCTGAATGTTCCTACTGCCGATTAATTTTTCTCGGATGGTTTTTGGTAAATTGAAAAATGCAAAGGCCATGAATTTCAGGCTGATAAAATCAGGAAATAGTGTTGCAATTCGAGTCGTTTATGGATTTAAAAAGAACCAATTAGATGCCTCAATTCAATTTGGAACAATTTCGTAATGCGGAATAAAAAACAAACATTGTTAGCCATTCAGGTGACAAATTACTATAGCTTAGAGCACACGAGGCTGGGCGCTTGCAGATCAAGAGATCAATCCTCCAAAATACAAGCGTTTTGTAAATTTCGTCTGAAGATAAAAACAAGCCGATTATATATATTTCTCACTTTCTTCGAAAGTCGGAACAATACTTGCAACGCCCATAAACCAAATATCAGCTCCAATGCTCTTTAGTAAACTCGTGTCTTTTTAAAAGACAAAAAACTAAACCAGATTTTTTCCGACTCTGATAGAAAGTGAGGAACAAATAAGATTGGGGGCGTTTTCTAAAATTACCGATATTATGCATGGCAGATCCGCACTCAAATTGTTCCAAATTGAATTGTGACTAACTATAAAAGGTCATGATAATTAACTCAAATGTTAGCACAACTCGAGACCTCATACAGAGCAACCAGAAAATTAAGAGTTTTGCTCTGATATACGAGCAGTCTTGTTCTGCTTATTGGTATACTATTCAAAAAATCCTTTAAAATCTAAATCATGACATTAAAAACTTTATCATAGTTACACGATACACCAGTGTAATCTCCTGTATATCTCATTTTATATCTCTTCCTAATTCACTTAGATCTGGCGACAGCAGCGCGAATAGCGCAGATGATTTGAATTAGCCTTAAAATATTGAAGTTCTGCGGAACGTTTTTGTTCGCTTAGCATCAAAACATCGACCAAGTTTTGAACAATCAACTATCTGAATAACTCGATAATTGGGAAATGGATTATTGGGATTATCTCCTCTCTCTCTCTCTCTCTCTCTCTCTCTCTCGTTCGCTCTCTCTCTCTCTCTCTCTCTCTCTCTCTCCTCTCTCTCTCTCTCTCTCTCCTCTCTTTCTCTCTCTCTCTCTCTCTCTCAAAAGAGTAATCAGTGGACACTTCCTGGTTGAAGCTTTTGCAAGTCAGTTCTTCGCTTCAAACTCTCTTCCCAAATTTTCTTAAGTTGCTGTATATCTTGAATTTCAATGAAAAACTGGTAATTTTAAAATTTAATGACAAAATAAGCTGGCTTGGTTTAAATTTTAAACTTTTCTTTTTTTTGTGTTTTAAATATTATTAATCAGAAAGATTTTTTAAAAAAATAGTCTTAGTTACTGCTTTGATAATACCATTGGAAATCATAATCATGCATTGTTTTAAACTTGCAAATTATACTTTTTTCTGCAGTTCAATAAATTAATTTATAAGCGTTCCAGTTTATGTTTGGGAAAGTATTGGAAAAAATAAATGCTAATCTAAAACTTTTCGAATAGATTAAATAGTGATGTTTTTTTTTCAGGTCAAAACACAAGATTTCTTTTCTTTAAATGGATTCTCAATATTGAAATTGGGCGTCAAAAGATAATCTTCACTAGCATTTTGCTCGCAGAACTTCGAGAGTTCCTTGGCCGCCTGAGAAGTCGGTATTCTTTCTAACTTCAGCTCTCGAGATAAATCTTCGATCTGTTTGCGAAGAGCGGCAGCTGCATTTGAAAGTGCCGATTCGGAATCCATAATTGCCACAACACACAACTGATTAAACTACCAATAACAAATCAATCTGAAAAATGTAAGATAGATTTTTTGAGAAAAAAAAACAAATTATATATTTAGAAAAAACTGAAGCTATAATAATTAAAATTAAACTTGAAGTAAGTAAACTTAGAAACTATTTTTTTTAGAAAACTACTGAAAGCTATTTAAACCAGGGGCGGATTTAGAGGGATTCGACCTCATGCCGACCCAAAGGGCCCCCCTTTGTACCATTTTTGCCTGACTGACCCTAAAATTTTTCTAAAGGCGCCTTCTGCGTCAATGTATACTAATTTACTAATTTCAAGGCCCCCCCCCACCTCGAGAAAATCCTAGATCCGCCCCTGATTTAAACAATTCTACATTTTAAAGCTAAAAATTACAAAACTCGATATTCCAGAAAAGTCTATTTGACATTTTAAAAATGAATTTATTACGAGTTGAAATGAAGTTAAACTTATGATCTGTTGTACATAATAGCATAAGCAATCGGCAGAACCAAAAAAGAACAAATGAGTAACACTGAGTTGACATTATTTACAAAACTAATCGGAGTACTAACCAGTTCTGGTAAAACTATTTCATTAATCAACGAAAGTGTGTGTGGTATTATGAGTGAAATTACACAAATGTAAACTACAGATGAAAATTGGTGTGCTTTGATGATGACGTAATAGTTGTTCACTTCGGTTTGTTTGTAGGAGTGAAGGTGTGTTTGAACAAGTTTGAAGTTTGAGACTACGGGTATGAGATGAAACATGCAGTTGAGTCTGAAACGAAAGTTGGGTTTTGCCATTTTGCGTATTGAGGCGTTCGAGTGTTTTAAGGTTATAAGGGTTTAACTACGAGATCAACTGACTAGCAAGTATAACTGACTAATGAAAGAAATATAAACTGATATAAAATCTGACGCAAAGTAACATTGAAAATCAATTTCAGCGCCTAAAGGCTCAAATGAGTCATAATTGGACGGGGAGCGGTCAAAAATTTCGTTTTTGTCCCGCCTTTTTTAAGTTCCGTCGTGGCGCAGAAAACTTTGTCAAAATGAGATTTTTATAGAGTTTTGGGTGAGCTCAGAAAATCAATTGGGTCGACAAAGTCGACAAAAAAAAAACTTTTTTTTTGAGAAACTACCCCTCCCATTGAGAAAATCCTAGATCCGCGCTTGATTCTTCGAACCTTTTATTCTAGAATGTTTTCGCATTTTCAATTTGTTTTGATTGTACCATTTATGTAAACTGGGTGTGAAGAAACCAGCCAAAGTCCAAACCTGCCAAAAATGCGCTGTGTATATAAGTCAGCCGACAGTTTAGATCATTTAAATGAAATTCGTGAGGCTTTCATAACAGTAACATAATTTTTACATAAACGTAGCAGTTACGTATTTTTGGATGCATCTTGGTTTATATGGTGGCTGGCTTATACTTCAGCTCGTTTATATACCACAATCTAAACTATTGGGAAAACCAAAATCACTCAGAATCATTTTCCTTCAAAATCTCAAGGCGACCGATTAACGCTGAGAGAGTTTGACTGAAGTTTTACATAAAAAAGTAAAAACTTTTATGTAAAGTTTTCTCGAAAGATTTTTTTATTAGGAAAAGGATGAAGAGAATGTGCTTCGTTTTTTTAGGTTCCGTTTTTCAAAATAAGGTTTTTTTTTTACTTAAGATTGACTTAATACGGAGTTTTTCTCCATCGGACTGGTGTTAATGCCGGATCGGCTTGACAATCTCCTCTAACCCTCCCGTCTCGTCCCCCCCATAAGAAAGGGAAAGATTGTTAAGTTGATTATATCACCAAATTTTCGTCCAATCAGGAAAGAGCAAAATTTCGTCCAATCAAGAGAAAGCTGTTAATCTAATTTACTGTTGATATCCAGAGGAGTGGGTGTTATTTTTTGATACGATAGGGATTTATAACCAGCTTCTTAAAACTTGCGCTTCAAAATAAACTGATAGCTTAAGTAAAATCAGTCAACGTAAGACTTCGGCCATTTTGATCTAATTCAAGCGCGGAACTAAGCTTTAAAATCTTTCCAAACTGGGGCAGGCAAATCAATCCAAATAATGCGTTCTTTTTGTTCCGACTTTCGATACGAAAGTAACGGAATATTTGTGCTCGGGGTGGGTTTTTTTTTCGTCAGACAAATTTCGACTTCTTAACTAGCCGTTTTTGACGGAATTTTTTTATATCATTCGAAAGGTATTGTTGTCATGAGCTCAAATTTGAAAAAATATTTCACCTGTGATCATTTTTCGTAAAGTTATGGGGGTTTAAAGATGGCCATTTTGGCTAATTTGGGACAATTAACGCGCCATAATTGATTTGTTACAAGGAGCGAAATCTATGTTTTTGTACTTTATATGGCGTGTGGGGGGATGATTTTCATAAAAAATTTCAAATTTTAGAAAAAATGTTTTCATTTTATTTAATTACATTTAATTTTTTAATGTTATTACTGCTCCATAAACCTTAAAAGGCAGTCGGAACATTCAGGGCTTCGCCCTGATACGAGCAGTCTTGTTTTAGTTTTGAAATTGTGTTTGGGTAGAACACATGTGAAAAAGAGTTTTTTTTATTTTTTTTCATTCCAGCATCAATTTCACTCAATCTTAAATTAGTTTGGACTCTCTATAAAACAGTAGGAAAATTCTGCTATAATTCATTGATACGAATAAATCTGCTCTGACTGTAGTTAACAACTAGCTAAGAATTGCAAACTTTGGGAATATCTTGCAAAATTTAGAAATAATTATGTATGTTGTGTCGCTGTTTCAAATACGCACAAAATGAGTTTTTTGTTCACAACTTTTCAGACAAAAGGATGCACTTTCTGCGAAGATTGCGTTAAGCCTTCAGAAGACTGCTCGAATCAGATGGAAAAATCCGACTGCCTTCCAACAACAATCAAAGGCTTTTTGTGAAAAGATTCTTAAAATATGTTTCAAGTTTTTTGGTTAATGTATTGAATCCCCTTGAACATTTTTAAAAGCGTTTAAAGATATATTTTAGGCGTGACAACCTATTAAAAAGACTTTGTATGAGTTTTATTTGGAATTTTTTTGTTCGTATTACTCACGCAGCTAGTATGATCGGATATCCTTGAACTGATGATGTCGTGTTTACCTAAAAACCCATCAAATTTACTAGAAACCAAATACAACAGAAAAAATTACCAGACACTTAGTATAATCTTCTATAGAAATCTAGAGATATCTCTCTTTTTTTGTTCTTTTTTCTTTCAAAAGAACTGCTTTAAAAAAATTCCGAAACACGTCTTTTTTTTTAATTTTAGCCCGTAAACTTTAAATACGTAACTTTTCAAGAAATTCAATTTTGGCAGAGCGACCTAAATAGGACAAAATAGCCTGCTCATTGTTGTTTTGGGCTGAAATCGATAAAAATTTTGAAATGATTTTGATTAGAAGCATATAAACTAGCCTGACACATAACTTTTTCCAATTTGTTATCCAAATCATTTTCAAAAATTCAAATTTTCATTGCTATTAAAACTCACCAAAGAAAAACTGGCTACTTTGCTAATAGCACAGAAATTTCTGACAACGGTTGTTTGAAGCAAAACTACAAATTTTACCTAATTTTTGTGGTATCTTTTTCACATCATGTGAGGCAAGGAGTTCAAAGATTTGTAGATAAAAATGATGAAATGTAATATCTTCATCTGACTAAATTAATCTGTCTCAAAACCAAAACTAACAAAACTAATCAAAAAGTTTTTTTTTTAATTTCTTTTTCAAGATTATATTTTTCTCGCGTTTTGCATTTTTACCGCTTAGCATCTAAATGTAAAATGTGTATTCTGGTTTTCACGCTCATTTTATTCAATTGTAATTGATATGAAAGCTTATTTTTGCGCCTTGTTTTTTCGACACTGAGATTTTTTAAAGAAACTTGAGGCATCGATGAAATCTCAAGTGAAAGGGCTTCATGATGCTATATCACTCCAACCTTTATGTCACTATTGGAGATTTTAAATTTTTCCGCAGTTTAATTGTTAGAAACAAAAAACCTCTCAAAAATATAACTGAGAAACGAAATAGTTTGGACTGAATTTTTTTTTCAAGTAACGGTTGTTCCAAATTTGCCTCTAGGTTGTGTTGCGTTTTCATTTTATCTTTGAAATCAAAATAACAGCAAATGACAAAAGTATTTCATGATTGGTTGCTAAAAAAAGATTTGAACTACAGGATTTCGAAAAAATAACAATCGTTAGTGTACTGTAAAAATGAAGGTTCGGCGCTCAATCACAACAAGAGGAAAAATTAATCAATTTTCCACCTAATTTAACCCATTTATCATCTTACCTGACTTGATATATCCGCTCTTAGCCCAGTTTTGTCCATTTTGTAGAAATTAAAGATCGAATAAATTACCCCCGACAAAAGCATCAAGTGAATATGCAATGGTCTGTGAGGCCAATAAATCTTAAGCCTCGCTAATTGTCCGAATGATGAATTGTCCGAAAGTTGTCGCGGCGAAGTCAAACTCGGCAACGAGTTCAAAATCGCGTTTTTAACTTGAAACTGCATATGGTAAAACATGCAAGGCAATGTAACGTAGAAACTCAATAAAGCTCCGTTTGTTGAAATTTTTATAAAATTATTAAGATTTTGGTTTTGAAATTTTGACTCGTTAAGAGAGAAAAAAAGAGAAAGTAGCGAAAATGAGGAAGTAACTGTTATCATTGAAGACACTCCCCGAAAGAGCGTTTTGCGGTATATTTTGCAGTCCTTAGGGATAAGTAATTTGTGGATGAGTATTAAATTTGAAATCAAAACCACAAACAGAAGCGCCAATTCGGTCAAAATGTTGTCGGTCAAAGTTGACAGGGGGTGCAGAGTTGCAATTAAACTTGAAACTGCGGCTAGATTTGATTCCATCATAACAATTGTTTTTAATGAAAAAATGTATTTCTATTTCTAATTAAAAATTATATAACAAAAAAATTTGATTTCCAAAAAAATATTCAAATTGGAAGTTTATTAGATTTGCATAATAATGAATTATCATGAACACTGCGTCAAAAATTAAGTATTTGTTTTAAAATCAAGAATATTTAGAAAAAGAAAACAAAGCTAAGCAGAAATTGGTTAACGAAGTTCATTTCTATAATTGTAGAAAATGATACCAGCAGTATTGGCTATAAATTATTAATTGACAAAAGTTTGAAAAAAATATTATGTCTTTCTGAATAGATTATTATTTGCACAACAAAAACGTGACTCTAAACGTGACTGCAGATCAACGTGTTTTTGCTCTACGCGTAAAGTACTCATGTTTTTTGTGTTGTACAAAATTGGTCAAACCGTACTTCAAAATGATTAACAATTATCAGAATGATCAAACAGCTTTAGATTCATTGGAAAATTTCTATTTAATTTTGCTAGGATCTATACTGGAAAAACGTTGAGATCTTTATGATAACAATTCTTCAATGAATCCTAAAAAAATTACTTGCGCACCCGCCGTTCTTCAGACTTAGGAGGGCGCAGTCCCGTCCCTCTCTTCTCTCAGCACCCCAATGACCCCTTCCCTTAGAAACAAAAAAAAATCACTAAGCAAAACAAAAGAATTGGATGTTCCGACAACTATTACTAAGAGTTATGAGCAAATATCAAACGTAAAAAACATTTCAAAAAAATTCTAAGAATAACTAAGAACTTCTAAGAAAGTTATTCTCCAAAACTTTTAAAACTATTTTAAAAATTTCCCGTTAACTTTTCTAGTAAACGGCAATTTATTTATCTAGATATTTTATTAAACTTTCCTTTGCACTTAGAAAAATTTGAACATGCCTTTTTCACTACAAAATTTCCTCAGTGAGCACCAATATCCCACGATATGATAAATTAGGGGTTGTGCTAACAATGTTATTAATCCCAAAAAAACATACTAACTTTCAAAGTAACTCTTGTATATCTCGCTGAAGTGGCTCTAGAAAAAAAACAGTAATATTGCAATACAGCAAAGAAAAAATTGTGTCATGAAAGCTGTGCTTGCATCTTTTTTCTACCGTTTTTCATTTATTTCCGCAAGAACTTTGAAACATTTGAACCTTATTTTGGAATAATTAAAAATTATCTAACATAAAAAAGAGTTCAGACAAGATTGTACAAAATAGAATAACAATTACTTTTTTTTATTGAGAGGCGCCAACTAATAACAGCGCCTCAACTCTGTTTTCTCCAACAAATAACAGGCCATAACGATGGCACGTTCTCAACTTAGGAATGTGAGCTCTAACAATAGAATCGCGTTGGATTGCCATTTGAAACAGAATCGCCTTTTTGTGCTGATTTTTCTAATATCCTTACCTTAAAAGTAAAAAAAAAACAGAATTAAATTTTCTCGCCACTATGAGTTAAGTTTAAAAATTAGAACAAAAAGTTAAGAAGACCAAGTGAACTAACTAGATAGTTTTTTAAATTTGAATTCAGATATTTTTGAAAGTATATGTTCAATGCGAAGCTAATCTTTAGCAGCAAGTGAATTTCAAAACCCCACGATACGATAAAATAGGGAGTTTGCTAACAATGTAACCAGAAAAGTAACCTAGCTTTTAAAGTAACAGTTCTATATCTGCTGAATCGGTGAATCGGGCTTAGAAAAAATTAGCCGTGAATTTGCGGCGCAAAACAGAAAAAAATGTATCTTTGAGTTTTTATTAGCTCTAATTTTCTAGCGTTTTTCTTTCTTCTTAAAAAGAAAAAAAATCCGATTCTAAAAACAATTATCCATTATGTAAAAGAGAGTTATTTCAGAAACGATTGCGCAAAATAGAAAAACATTTGAGCGTATTCTCGTGAGCAGAGGGAATATTTTACCACGAACTCATGAGTTAATAAAGAATCATGACGAGAGCAAGTTCCTGGTTCAGGATTGTTAACATAGCAGTTTTCACGCATCGGGTTACCCTTTAAGATACTTGAATCCTTGAATACTACCCATTTGAATATGTTAAACCTAGAGTGTAAGTTTGTTTCCAGGAAGGGAAAGCCAGAAAAAGTACAGGCAAACAACCAACAACCAGTCAATTTTATGACAGCACTTGTTTTCTAATCAAAAATAAAATGCCGTTACAGTATAACTATTGAAAATTTATATCAGAAAACACAATTATTTTGATGCTAAAATACATTGACAACAGTATTACAATAAAGATTTAAAAAAATTGTTAATGCGTCGAAAAAAACCAAATCCATACAATTTTTTAGGTAAAACTACAGAACTGTTTGTTTTCGATGTGATTTTTTTATGGTGATATTGCTTGTAAAATCTGATTTTTTGTTTCTGTTTACCGATGCTCAACCACATTAGTTCTTGTCCAAATTTCTAATTCAAAGATTTGATGGTGTTCTTGTATTGATTAATTTTAAATTGTTAGGGTGAAAATTGCTTTATTAAGGTTATTTACAAAAGAACAGATGTATGTTATGCACAGTTTTACTATTGAAGAAAAACATCATAATTTTTGTTAATGTATATGTTTATGCTTCCTAGTCATAAATATGTTACAATTTTGTCTTCAAGCATTTTCTTTTCTAAATGTTCTCGAACACCGAAAACTTCAACTGGCATGAGGTATATAGAGATAATGTTGAATAGCATGTTTTGAGAGTTCAAAAACTTATCGGAGAATCAGAAGCGATTATCAAAAATCCTCAGAATTACATCAATATTTAGCTTTCAGAAATAAAATCAACATCTTTCAAATTACATGATCTTATGCGGTACTGATTAAAACTATCTGCGCTATAAAAAAAGCAGCTTTGACATTCAATGTATATATTTTTTATTGTTGACACAAAACTGAAGAGGAAATCATTAAAAATAGATTTAAAATTACAATTTTAGCATTGAATTTGATTTTTCAATTTTTTCCGACGAAAATTTGCTGTTGGTGTAATAAAATAAGAGTAATTACATACAATTAGTGGTCGTTGTTATTATAATTAAACCTTGGCGCTGAAATCAAATTCAATTAGTAGATCCATTAAAAACAAATTCCATGTGTCCAAAAAGGTTAGGGTTTTTTTTTAAACATTTTTCGTTCTTTTGTTTTTTTGGCGAGTCGCGCTCTCTAACTTTTGTAATAAAACTGTATTGTAATGACTGATAAATTTGAAATTGTTTCATTTTTTGAAGCGCTTGAGAAAGGGCAAAAATATTGTTTTTGCTGCCGAGGAATTTATTTTACGTCTCTTGGTTGTTTTGATTTCAGAAGACAATTTATGTTTTTGACGTAATCTACATTTCTTTTTAACGACAATTGTAGGAAAAAAATTATACAAGCTGGCAGTTCGCTTCAAATCAATATGCAAATGCAATATTAAGCAAAACAGGTCCATGAGGTCTAACAAGTATGCACTAGAAACCTGCAAGGGTCTAATTTACAGATAACATGCAAACGATATAAAAATTCGCAATCAGTTGTAAAAAATCCTCCGTTATTTCTGTGACGAGGACAAAACCAAAAAGTAAAAAAATTTATGTGTACTTTGAAGTTTTTGTAGAAGTTCTGCGATATCCATTTTTGGCCGACTGACCTTAAAAACTTTCTAAAGGCGCCAATCTATACTAATTTTGAGGTGGGAGCGCGCGCCGTAAAAACGCAATTTTTTAGTCGATAATATCAAAAAAGTGCATAAAAACGCCTTTTTGGCCTGTTTTTTCTCAAATTTGCCTGCGGCGCAGAGAATATTGTCATATTAGGGTCTTAGTAGTGTTTTGGGAGAGCTCAGAAAATCAATTTGTTGGTCGACCTAAAAAGAAGGTCAACAAAATTTCGACCCAAAAAAACGCGATTGGTCTGTTTTACACAATTTTTCCTGCGGCGCAGAATATTTGACCAAAATTTATTGATTTGGAACAGCTCGGGAAATCAATTTGGTAGACCTAAAAAGAAAAAAAAGGTCGACAAAATTTTCGAAATTTTTTTGAAAATCCGCCTCCCTTCCTCGAAAAATTCCTAGATCCGCGCCTGAGCAGAGTACTTAGCATTTCAAAAATTTGCTCCTTTTTATCGGTACTTAAACTATTTTTTATAGTCCTTGCCCAGTCATTTATCAAACTACAAAAACTAAAGCAATAACCACAGTTCCAATTGTTTGCAAGGTTATTTAAATATGCAAATTCAAAAAATTGAGCCAAAGCACTGCACAAAAATTCCTTGTTCTAAACACTTAATCAAAAATTGTAGGCAGTATACTCCGAGGTTTTTCTTAAAACAACTGATTGCTATTATTTTATGTGTGTATAATTTTTTTTGAATTTTGATGCCCTTTGAATTCTTGCTTTTCAATTATTTTTGCTTGTCAATTCGATGTTCTTTGTTTTCAAATTTGCTGGCCAAATTGTTACGAAAGTTGAGAATGTTTCGGCTTTCTAAAGACAAAGTTCTAGACAGTAAATTAAAGTGTGTAAATTTATAGGCTAATTTGCTTAATTATACCAAATCAAAGCACTATTTCATTATATAATTATATTCTCATTTAAGTTTCACTTAACAATTTTAAAGTTAGCCTTAAAATATCAAACTGTTTTCAGTTTAAAATCAGGAAGGATCAATCAAAGAGTTCTGTTTTTGATTCAAGATTTGGTCGGGAAAATCTCCATAATATCATCATCAGGTTCCGCGATGTAGTTTGTATTTCCATTTCCGTTGACTTGACTAGACATAATAGTTCCATTAATTATTCTGCTTCCGTTCGATGCAAACTGACTACTCGGCTGATTATGATTTAAATTATTTCTCATTCCGTTAATCGAAGAAAAGCGTACAAAACCGTTTGTGCTATTCGGAGGTTTGGCCGAGTGTCCATTCGTGTGGTATCCATTCATGGTTAAGCTGCTTCGATTCCGGACGCTGAAATCGTAAGGTGGTGGGGGTGTGTTATGCCTGGCTGCACTCGATGGTTGCTGATTGATACCTGAAGGCTCTGCGGTTGCATTGTTAACAAGATTTGAATTAATTAATTGTACATTGCTGTTGCCTACACTCGAGATAGAACTTGCGCAGGACTGAAACATCATGAAAATTGAAAGTTACGTCGCTGAAACTCATATTATGAACAAAAATGAATCCAACCAACTTCACAATATCTTTATTACAGTTCAATCATACATATGAAACAGAGTTCGAGGGACGAACTCTTGAAATTAATGGGGCAGAAAATTTTTCCTACACGTTCCATACTTTTTACTGTAACTTAAATACAAGCTTGAGCTAGTCTAGAGCAATTCATTCAAAAAGAAAACTGTTACAATGTACAAAAATACTTTGTAGAAAAATACTGCGGAATCGATTTTAACGGTGCTGAATATAGAAAAAACGCAGTTGAAAAACCGCAACTAAAGTCAGCGAACAAAAACTAATTATACTTTATTCAGAAGTGCCCGTTAAATGTGCATGACCCAGGAATTAATCTCTGTCTCAAAACCAAGTCGAACCATAAAAGAGTCATAGTTAGATTCGTCGGAAACGTTTTTGAAAATAAAATTGCTGTTCAACTTGGTTTTGAATAATTTAGCAACTCTTTGAACGAAGCCATTTTAAAACAGCTATTTCATCTAAATGAGCCCGAGAAACGCTAGCGAACTTTAAAAATGTTCCGGAACAGTGAACGCTTCTCAACTTTTCGCAATTTATTGGAGCTATTTGCAAGTGAAAAAAGAAATGAAAGTCAAACCGCGAAAAGTCAAAATTAAGCGTGATTTTGCTGAAAAAAAACGACAAAAAATCAACACGACCTATACAAGTGGATCACTACGCTCAGTAGTGTGCCAAAGTAGGAGCCTTTGGCGCCGATATAGCCAATTTTTAGGGGTGAGCGCGCGACTTTTATGGGGGGGGGAGGGGGGCCCAAAAAATGCTCGGAAAATCAAATGGAAAGCTCGGCAAATAGTTTTTTCGGAGCGCTCGGGAAATAAAAAATTTCAAAACCGCCCCACCCCCTGAAAAATTTCTGCACACGCCACAGACCAAGTTCAATATAAATTTAAAACGAACACATTGTTGTTCACTACGTGCATTAGCTCGTACAAGAGATCTTAAAGCTTAAAAAGCTAAAAAGAGCATGTAGCATTGTTTCACAGCGACAAACAATACCTGGATGAAAATTACTCTCATCAAAAAGAAAGTCATTCATAAATGAAAACATCTGAGATAACACCAGGAGCGTATTCACCTGGTGGATACTATTTTAAGCACCCATTAAATACCACACTCAACTTGTGATACCGTACAAACATAGCAATGCAAGCTAGCAGACAAAAAATGGAACAAAATGTAGTCGAAAAAAGGCACATGGGCAAAGCAGAGATTCGCACCATTGCGATACAATGAGAACGAAAATTTGCAGAGCTAGCCGAAAGCCAGAAGTCGAAAAAAAATAAAAATGCAATAAACCACCTTAAAATTGACTTATGTCTCGATTCGAGGACAACCTGTCGCGAAACATGTTTGCTAGTATTAAAAAAGCAAAAAGAAAAAATTCATCGAAGGGCTACCACGCAGAAAAAGTTTCGCTAGACGCCCGCTTTTACGTCCTCCCAGAAGTACGCACACAAAACACACCTTGTTGCGACGCTCAAACGACGTTAAAATAATCAAATAATTCGATATAACAAGCCGAAACCATTGACACCGAAGAAACCTTTAACACGAGAAAAATATTAATAGAATTTAACTAATAAAAAAATTATTGGTGATTTTTCCTAACTGAAATGGAATTGATCTTTCTTATTCGTTTCAAACTGAAAGATCACTTCCCGATTTTTGTTTACATTAGCTGGTGAAACATGACCTTTAGTCATTGGTTCGAGCAACTTTGTGCGGGTGATTTACCATATATATTTGATCTGAATTGCTACTGGAACTATCACTCAAATCTCATTAACTCACTCCTTATTAATCAACCGTTTGTCGCTGCAATAACCTTGATAGGCTATGAGCCAAGATGCCCAATCACGAGTGAGAAGTCAGGAGTCAAGATTGACTGTTTGGTCAAACTAATAAGGAAAACAGCTGAGATTTGCAGTGGAGTTGTGACAGTGAAAAAACACAACTTGAAATATACAACTGATCAGTTAGAGAACTGCGAGAAGAGAAGCAGGCCAAAACTACTTGGAGATAGACGATTGATCAGACAGAGAAGTGCAAAGATAGAAGAAGGGCAACATAACTAGTAGAGACAGGCAACTTTGACGACAGAAGCAGGGCAACACAACTTCTAGAGACAGGCAACTTTGACGACAGAAGCAGGGCAACACAACTTCTAGAGATGGACAACTCTCGCGATAGAAGCAGGGAAGCACAACAGAGAAGAAGAGAAGACGGTCAAAAGCTACACGAAGGGGCACTGAGTGAGCACAGCAGTGGAAGAAGCACTACACTATTGATAGTGAAAGAAAACTGAAACAAACTGATAAATTACATGTTTGTAAAAGTTGCTGATTTATACTCAATTTTTGCAGAAGGATAAATTCTTTCGTACGCGGTTGCTCGAATCCGACACGAAATCAATCCAAAGAATACATTGTCATTTAAAGAAAAAGAAACTGATACCCCAGAATAAAAAGACGAACTTCTATTTTGCTAATAATATATATATATATATATATATATATTACCTAGTATGAAATCTGAGGAGGGACCTTAGCTTTGCTAATTTGCTGATGTGTTATTCGGTACGCACTCCGTTAGGTTCCAAATCAGATTTAGGTAATCAAATATACTTGAATAGTTGTATAAGCGGGCGATATTGATGTTTATAGTATATGATTTTGATGCGGGGTCATTGAACTTTACCTAGGGCAATACTTCACTTTTTGATGTTTGGATTGGAGCTTAACCTTTGTGTGAGAATTAAGTCGAAAATAAGAACTTGGACTAGGAAAGAAATGTCGAAAACTGATAGGATAGTTTTTTCGGGAAAAGAAGATTTTTCCTACTTTGAAGAGCAATTCGAGGCACGAATTTTTCACTTGAAGTTAAACAAGATTTTAGACGAGACAGTTGATTATAGAAATTTCATGCCAAGTTTAAGACCGAATGCAAGCAGTGATCAAAAACAAGCTGCGATAGATAAAGGAAAAGAGATTTCTGAAGAAAAACAGTTGCATATCTGGTACGAACTTGTGCAGGCTCTAGATAAGAAATCAGTTTTGTTTTTGAGACCTTGTAAAGGCAATGGTAGCAAAGCTTGGGATGTTTTACGGAAAAGGTTCAAGAGTTTTGAAAGCCCAGGCTGCAAAAACTAATCTCCGAACTTACAACTTTGAAAAAGAATAGCAATAAAACAGTGATAGATTATTTGACTAGAGCAGAGGAGATTCAGTATAACTTAGAACAAGTGAACGAAGGAGTGAGTGAAAAAATGTTAATTTCAATTATTTTGAAAGGACTTCCAAAACAATTTGAAACCTTTTCTATTATAGCTAAGTTTAGTAGAGATGAGGAAAGTTTAGATGAGTTGAAAAGAGATTAAGTGAATTTTGACAGCGAGAGACAAGTAATTGAAAAAGAGCATGCTTTTAATAGCGAGAATAGAGTTTGTTTCAAGTGTCATAAGAGAGGACAGGCAGCAGACGAGATAGTGTAGACAGAGCTGGAAAAAATCAGTGCTATGAAAGCAAGGAGTTTGGACATACTGCAAAATATTGCCAAGCAAAGAAAAAGTTCATTAGTAAGACTAAGCGAGAACAGCAGAACCTAGCAGCTGAAACGGAGGCTAATTTTAGTTTCCTGAGTGGAGTGTTTCCGGGCTAGAACTTAGTGTTTCCGGAGCTACCAGTAATATGATTAAGGATTGAGTTATGTTTGTTAGGTTAGATAAGAACTTCAAAGAATCGTTTAGCAATGCAAATTTCTCAGAGTCAAAAATATAGACAATAGGAGAAGTACCTCAGGGTATTGTTTTAAACTCAGTGACAGTTATTGTTTAAACTCAGGTGTAATAAGTTGTTCTAGCAGACTTCAGCGTTGTGTATCAACTTCAACAGCCGGAGCAGAACACAATGCTGTGGTCGAAACAGTAAAGGAAGGAATTCATTTACAGGGCATACTTAGCGACTTAGGCATAATTTGTAATAGGCCTTTAGAAGTTTTCGTTGATAACCAAGCTTGTATTGCCCTTAGTAAACCCTCAATGAACCACGGAAAGACGAAGCATTTTGCCATAAAACAACACTTCCTTCGAGAGCTAGTTGAACAGAAGAAAGTGACATTAACTTTTTTACTAACAGCTAACATGCCTGCAGACGCATTGACGAAAAATTTGGGAAGATGCAAAACTGCATTTTTCCGAGACATTCTACTAGGAACCACCTAATTTGAAAGGCGGGGTATTGGTGATTTTTCCTAACTGAACTGGAATTGATCTTTCTTATTCGGTTCAAACTTAAAGATCACTTCCCGATTTTTGTTAACATTAGCTGGTGAAACATGACCTTTAGTCATTGGTTCGAGCAACTTTGTGCGGGTGATTTGCCATATAAATTTGATCTGAATTGCTACTAGAACTATCATTCAAATCTCATTAATTCACTCCTTATTAATCAACCGTTTGTCGCTGCAATAACCTAGATAAAAATAAGGTGAATCAGCCGACAGAATTAAGGCCGATACCCCATAAACAGAGAAAAATACACCAGAAAAGAAAATCAGTACATGCAAGCTATTGGTGGTTATATTAAAAAATTATACATTTTCAAGTGTCTTCTAATTTACTCATTCCGTGAACAAAGATATTTACGGGAAAAAACTCAAGTAACCGTTTGCTATACCCTTGCAGAAAAAATGATTACAGAAACTTTATAATTTTGTCTCTTATGATGTTCAATTTGAGTAAATTATGACCAGAAATACAATCTCGTCAGAAATACAATCTCGTCAGAAATACTATCTACCAAAAATACAATCCATTAATTAGAGATTAGCCCAATAATTAGCCCAATTAGGATTTTAGCTCAATAAAATCCCCTTTCGAAACTAGAAGTCCCCCAGTTTTTCTAGCAACTTGCGCTTTCAGTATCGGAGAGCGATATTTGCCTTCCTTTAAGCAATTGAATGAATTTGAATTGAACTTGAAACTGAAAAAATGCACAACCAAATAAGTGTCTTTCACTTCGTTCATTGACACTTTTAAAAACCAAGTCAAATCGCATAAAAGCAAATTAAGTAACATTGTTTGAGATTTTCCACAAAAAAAAACAAATTCTTGCAAATTAACAATTAACCAAGCTCATTTATATGAATAGCGAAAATACAAATCACTTTTAAAAAGATATGCATAATTTCAAGTTCCAAATACTAACCAGGCCAGACGCATATCTTTCCAACTTTTCCTTATCCAATAAATCATCCAGTCTAAACTTGATTCTAGCCTCTGGAAGAAACTGTTCAATCTGCTGTGCGGTCTTAGTTCCCATGATTCCAGCCAGTAGTTCCAGATCACTTATTCCCAGCTTCCGAACTGAGACTAGGAAGAATTCAGTTTCTCTGGGCGCCCATTTTGGTGTTTTCTGCTGTCGTTGCAGGGTTTCAAAAAGGCGCTTGCACTGAAATATACCACCCAAAATTGCTTCTCCTCCCAAAACTTTATAGTTCACTGAAATCAATTTCGTCATTAGCGACTTAGATACCTGACTGCGTATAAATTCAATAATCAAATGTACAAAACATGGAGACATAGCTAAATATTGAAAGTTTGGATGTGACGTCACGATATATGGTTTATGCTAGTGACTTTGGAAGATTAACGCTCGGATCAAAACAGACTGTAATTAGCATAACTTTCGCTTCTACATTCAAAAAAGAAAGCTACCAACAGATAGAATTCTCATACGATTATCTGCAAATATGTCACTGTTTGAGCAATTTTGCTAGCCGATAAATCAAAAAAAGGGCGGCGCGCATAAATCGACTTACTTCATCTTTCTGTCCGTAAAATAAAAGTGAATAAAAGACTATATCAAGATCATGAAAACCATGCTTTTATTAAATAGTGATGATTGTTTTGTTGATCGAATAACTTTGTTTGACAATGCATTGTTTGATACCTTTGCTTTATGATGCATATACGCTTCAATTTAAACCTATGACTCAAAAAACGTTTCGTTTTTAGATCATAGGCTAAGCTAACTTCGCCTACAGAATTTTAAAAAAGCCGAAAGGACCTCTAAAGGTCCTTTCCAATTCGAAGCGCACACAATTGAATCTCAATTGTGAAAAACGAACTCAAAATTTTTCGTAATGTAATGAAACATTTCATAGTACGCAAATTAAGTACACATGTTTTTCGAGATTTACGTCGTTAATATCGAGCACTTAAACTTTATCGCATAAACAAGTTCCGTAAAAATATAAAATTTTGAATGTTTGTGAGGGTGAAAAAGATCACTACCATCCGCATTAGTCAAAACCTACCAATCTTGAGTCTCTGAAGTGACTCTTGTCGTTGGGAAACTTAGTGAGCGCCTCAGTAGTGTCTCGTTTCAACTGCTGCAACTAAACACGACAAACATCTTTCAGAGGCTATTCGGTCATTGTACTATTATTGAATTAAATTACCATCTACTAGGAGAAACTTAACAAATTATTGACTGAAATAGTTAACAATTGATTCAATATTCCGAAAAATTATGTGTTAAGCTATTGAGATACTGAAACAAAATTGTTAGAAAAAAAACAAATGGCAGAGAAATAAATGTACTCAAACCAACTTCCTGATGCAACTGAATCTTCCTGCGTTCCATTTCATCTTTAATTTTAGTCCAATTTGGTGCGTCAGCTACTAGTTTTGTAAGTTGCTTCGTACTTAAAGACATATGAGCTGGCAAACTAGCGAAACTATTGGTTGAAACATTGCCACTGGATGACGTTGTAGCCGATTGTTGCCCATTTAGAATACTTCCTTTCGAGTCCAAAGAATTCTTTTCGTCCTCTTCGTTGTCATCGTCTATTACGATCAAATCTGTGACTTTTCGGTTTAAAGTCAGGTGTCTGTTGTTTTTAAGGTCAAACATGGAGTTTTTGTGATTGGGTTTGAACTCTAGTAGGTCGTGTTTTGTTACTCCTGATGACGTTTGAGGCTGGTCGGTGTCTAGTCTTCGTCGCTTGAGGGCAATAAGATATTCGTCGTCTTCAGAATCCCACCAACTGATAACACAACAGCTTCTTACTTACAAAACCAAACAAGAAAGTTAACAATGATAGCCGGTTGCTGTGCAAGTAGTACAGAATGGTCCGATCCGACAACCTTCATGAAAAGTATAGAAGAAAAAAAACTTTTCTATTTCATCTTCAAATTACTCGTTTTTTGTAAGTAATGTTGTAGAAAAAATAACACAACCGGTAGAGATTTACCTAACTGGTCATAATTGACAGGGGTTGATTTCAAAAATGAAATAGAAGAAAAAAAACTATTCAAAATCGAACTTTTTTTTTCTTATTTTTTTTTTGCACAGTGGTTTAATTTATATCAAAAATAATACTGCCGAAAACGCCGCGAAGATACTGCGGTAGCTGGAAAACGACTGTTTCAAACCAGAGTTGAATTGCAGATGATTTACTTAGAAACTGCGGGTAAAGAAAAAAAGAAGTTAAGGTATTATAATCGTATCATTGAATAATTGTATAGATGAAAAAGTGCTTTGTTCGCTCCAACATTGCCTCCCCAATGATCTTTAACCAATCCTTGTATATTTTCAGAAGGCGCGTATTTCTGATGCTGAAGGGGTTGATGCGGGAAAATAGCTAGTGCGGTAGAAATTGGTGAAGGAGCAGTGAGTGTCGTCGATAGATCTGCTTTTTTCAAGTTTTTGTTTTCTACAAGGTTCTAAATTCTTTGTTTCATAACAGTAAAATACTCGCTTTACACTTTTTTCAGAATTCTGCAATCAGTTTGTGCAAGTAGTTGAATCTTTTTAGGGGTAATTTTTCATCTTCATTTAGCTCATTAGTGGGAGGATCAGCTACAGTAAAGCAATTGACTAGACTTGAAACCATATAAAAGCATCAATGGAGTGAGCTGCACAGCTTCTTCAGCATCAACCGAAATTGCTGTTATCGGCCTTGATTTGAGCCTAGTTTGTATGTGACAAATCAGTGTGCATCTTATCCAATTATATTGTCTTTCGTTTTCTGATATAAAATTTAATTGACTTAACAGCAGCTCCCCATATACCTTCGAAACTTGTTGCTCTTGCCGATAAAGGTGTCCTATTAAGCCTCGAACATAATCAGGGAGGCTTTCTATCGTAGAGTGAGGACGCAAAGCCATCTAAAATGTTCTCGTTTAGGTAGTCATTCGATGCGAGTGATCAGCCAACTTTTAGCAACCCCTCGTCTAAATGAATGCATATAGCTGAAGAAGTATTGATGCCCGGCTAATGACTGGGTTCATTTGGATCATTTTTCGTTGAAATGCTGCTCTTGAACCTCTCGTACAAGAAGGTTCGGTCCTAATTTTCGAAGCTGATTCCGATCTTAATCAAACTTTCCCGATGCGCAAAGTTGTACCCCAAGACCACCGTTTCACCCTTTTGTCGGACTCGGCATTCAGTCCTCGTTGTTTTTGCTGCTTGCATAATTTCCTCTTCACTAGCTACCCGATTGACAAGGTGATTTCGTCGAATGACCGTTTGAACTCGTTCTTCTGTTCATTTGCTTCAATAATTGTAGGTTAAGATTGAAAACAAAATTGATTTGTCTGCAACTAAGTCGGTCCTGATCATATAATTTGCAAGCTTTGCATTTCAGCTGCAGTTACTGGTCGAGTTTAATTTCGGCTGTTTCAATGAGTAGGAACGTGTTTCTTTGGTTGTCTAGTCATACATAGCTGCTTCAAAGGCCATCTCCAATGCATCGCACAAATGATGAAAAACGACAAGCCGAGAGGTATCCATAGCTAAGTACCGAGGCATATCTATGGAAAATAAAAGACTTGAGCTGTCTACCCAATGTTGGGAAATCTTAATTTCCATCTCATTCCGAACCTCCATCGCCTTTTTTGGAAGAAGATTTGGCATTATCGTTACAGGATTTACTGGTAAAGGGATCAAAACTCGTTTAAATTGCTTTCTATCAACCGGGAAGTGATCGTAAGTGATCGAATGTTTTCGGGCGCATTCACTGAGTTGGTTTCAATCAATTTAGAAGAACTTCTTAATTTGTCTCCACTTTTTATTGCGCTTTAGCATGACAAAGGAAATGAACAAACTTGAAAGAAAGTTAATCTCTTTCGTTCGTAAAACCGATCGGAAAAGATTGAAACACGTTTTGGCTCTTTTCATTAGTTGATTTTTGAATTTTTCACTAAATTTCAGACGATTTTTACCAAAATATGTCTTGTGTGGAATCAGCCTGATTGTTCTAAAAAAAATTACCATAAAAAACTCGATAAATCCTCAATGGGACCTGGTTTTATCATAATTTTTCAGGTGGATTTTTTAACAGTTGGAAACATTTGCACAAAATTAGCCCCTTTTGAGCTAAGAATAGTTCTCGAAACTGAAAAAACAAAAAAAAATTAACTAAAGCGTCGGGAGTTTCATTAGGAATTTAGTGAAAACTTTTTCTTAACTTGTTTGATTCTTGTCCAAATCCAGGCGACTCATTGAGTATCTGCATGGTCACAATTCATCAAGTCCTGATTCCCTAAAGTTAGGGTTTTCATGTCCTTAAATAGGCTGAAATTGGCCACATTTTGAAATTTTTGGCAGCAACTGATAATGCTTCGAAGTCAACGCTCAAGAATTTGGCTGGCTTGATAAGGAAGAATTGTGACAATGATTCCACCATGAGTAGAAATTGCGTTTTTCTGAATCACTCCAGATATGCGCTCTGGAGATTCTGCTGATTAGATACTGAGACGATGCATGGCCTGTAGGGTTATCACATTCAGCTGAGCGCAATTACCATTATGCGCCCTGAAGTGATGAGCTCGACCGTTCGGAGATCGAAATTTGACGTTCGCTGTGATGACTGAAGTTCACGGAAAAACTCATAGACATTTGGGGAAGAATTGTGATGACTGAAATTCAGCTGCTTGAAGAACATCTGTTGTCGCTGTTAGACGAGGAGTTGATTACATAGAACAGACATGAAGATTTGTTTGAAGCTTCTTTTGACATGTCTTCCACAGGGATGTTGAAGGAAATTGCTGGATTCCGTGACTAACAGAAAAACAATTGAAGCACATCTTATTGTAAAAATCTTTCGTTCTGATGGTGCAATCAATCAGAACGAAAGATTAGATTGTCAGAGCATATTAGATTTTAAAATAGGGCAACGAAGAGCCTTTCTTCTGACATAAAATCTTTTTTGTCAAGATTATGTGCAGCTCACGCTCAGATTTGTGAGGTCTAGCATGAAATCCTCGAACCTCCAAAGACCTGACCAGGTTGTCTAAAAATACCATCAGTGGAACAAAGTCAAGAGCTTGACACAATCCCAGGATACAGAATCTCGAAGTAGAAAAGCCACAATTCGTTTTCAACTAATCTTTCGAGTGTCTTGATCGATTGCGAAGTCAAATTAATGATTGAGTATAGCTGACGGAGCTGAGAAACGGTCTCCGTTCGAGCTGCAGTAAATACGTGACTCATTGACAAAGAGCTTCCGAATGATAACTCGATCATTTTTATGTACCTGCGCACGCATGTATGGCGCTAACTAGCAGAAATTTTCTGTCGTCTCCAAGCTCATGGTGTGTTTAAAAGCATGGCTCGTCAATTAACACTGAGACACATGACTTTCTGAACCGTAGACAGCTTCTCATTTTCATGGACAGTTGACCAAAACTGATCAATGAAGCTTGGCCAAGCAGCGAAATCGTCACTCAAGCTAGAAATATTGATCTGTGAGAACCTTGGTGGGATGCTTGTAGGTTCGATCTGCTTAGTTGCAAAACAGTTGATAGGCTGATCCAATTCAACTATAATTCTCTTTGCGGCATGTAAAGTTTGGCGACCAGCCTTTTGAGACTCTTGAAATTGACGTTTTGTAGTAGGCTGACACAGTGAGCTTAGGTTATGGAACGGACCAGACTGAAAACTTCGCGATAGCCGGAAAGCAATTGTATCCAACCAAAAACTGAACAAAAATTAATGAGTTAATACATTTGCAGGGAAGTGACATTAAAAAAATTCTTGAGACACTTAACATACGTTTTGATTTAGGCTTACATGTGAACAAATAACCATATCAATTAACGCGAGCTTTGTTTGCTCCAACAAAGTCACTTTACTCGTACGAAATGAGAAAGAATCAAAGTTTTCAAACAAGATTTTCTCGACACTGAGACATAACTTCGGAAAACTTTTATGTAGTTTAAAAGATTATTGCTAAACCCATTCCTATAATGACTTGTGGTATGTGATTTAGCATGGAATGCTGAAAAAGCCTAAAGCACCCCGAATACAAAGTTCTTTCCAAAAAATAAACTCTCGGAAAATCTTTTTTCACTGTGCAACATGATAAATTAAACTGACCCGTCTCCTTCTTGTTTGTTTGTCATTTGATTTTTATATAGTCACAAATAGTTTTTATTATCTGTTTCTTCCAATGATAATCAAATGAAATCAAATCTAGCAAATTTCGCTGATTCACTGCTTCTTCTATTTCCAAAATTTCTTCACGTACAACTTAAACGCATTTTCGATAGCTACGCAGTCATTGTCGCACCATTTATTGTCTATAGAACGGTATTTCATAAGTTCTCGAAATGCTTATTTGGAAAGCAACTGTATCAGAACACAATTCAATCAAAGGTGATTTAATTTTTAAATGCGGGTTAATAAAATGAATAAATTATAGGAAAATTAAAATGTTTTTATTTATGATTAAGAAAGAGCTTTACGCGCTCAAATTTGGACTAAAACTCAAAAACGTTCAAGTTTGTTCGATCTCGGCACTGGGACAACTTTTTAAGAACTTATATATATTAACTCGACCCATTCCGATAAATGCTTGTGGCACCTAATTTTGCGTGGAAAACAGAGAAAAAACCTATAATATGCGAATACAAAAATCCTCTCCGTTTTCAAAAGTCGGAACAATTATCGCTTTGCTCAAAAAGTATCAGAAAAACATCTCAGAAAAATATCCTTCACTGAGCGACATGATAAATGAAACTGACCTCACATATCCGTCTTGTTTGTTTGTCATTTGGTTTATATATTCTGTCATAACTGTAGTTTTAATACTCTGTTTCTTCCAACGATAATAAAACGAAATCACATCTGCCAAACTCCGATGATTCACTGCTTCTTGCAATTTCGAAAAATTCTTTCCGTGCAACTTAAATGCATTTTCGAAAGCTACGCGGTCATTGTCGCACCATTTATTGTCTATCGGACGATACTTCTTAAGGTCTTCAGTGGCTAATTTGATATCAAAATTGTGGAAAGTTAGCATGGCTAGAGCTTGTTCTTCGGTGAAATGGCCGAACTTGGAAATCCCTTGTAGATACTCGTTTACTAAAAAAAACAGTAAACATTAAAAGCAAAATACGGTAGACTCAATGAAATCCTGAAAAACTAAATCAAAAAAGCAATCACATAACCGCATCATTGAAACACTTTTTGCTAAGAGAGACTCACTTTCTGGGTCTGACAAATGATGCGACGAGGGGGACCACAAGGGCTGGCACAGGTCTACAGTTTCTGAAAAATTTAAAATTTGAAAACAGCGCAAGCATAATTTTATGAGAAATAATCATGTTTCAATCAAGTCACCTATGTATTCTGGAAGGGTCTCTGGTGAATGAAGATTTGAATCAGTCGCTTGAAATTCGGCCCCGACTTGTACGCTCCTATCTGATGCAGTGCCTGAAAAATGTTGAGTTGATTGAAAAAAATGATTCTAACCTCTCAAAATTATGTTTAACTTCACCTGATCCCTCATTAGCTACACTAAGAAGGCTTGCATTGAAAGACAGCGCTGCAGGATACTCCATTGCACCCATCGTAAATTTCGTTCTTCAAAGCATTGCGCGTCTCAGCTCGCTTTAATACTGTTTAACATTACTCCTTGCATGTACAATTTAGAACTGAAATTACCACCAGTCTCTGCAACGATTAATTGCAATTGTCTCTTAAGTGGACATAGGCAAATGCAGTCAAATAAATCAGGTCAGAATGTATCATGGTAACCGAAGCTACTGACAAACCTTAGGATGGCCAGCAATGACATCCTCTTCGCATGAAGAACAACTGATGCTCAATGAGCTATGCGTTTCAAATTGTCTACAACTTATTGAAACTACAAGTACAACAGGAAAGAGCCTATACGCACTCTTATGCAACAGACCCCAATCAATTATCAACGTAGTTATCGATAACCAAAAGAAGAGCCTATTTTCATCCGAATACCCACCTTTTTATCATCAGAAGTGTAATACAACGCGGGTATGACTAGGCGAGTGTCCGTGCTACGGCTAAGCAGGAATTAAACAAATTTCAACATTTAAATTGTTTTTCAAATTCAAATATAATACGCGCTAAAGTAGTCTCAAGCATTTCCGCTACAGTAGTCTCCTGTTTTTTCTGCGCAGGTGTTAGTTTTTTCAATCTGGCTGGATTGATTTCCAATTATCTGACTCTACACTGTCAGACGGTTGGAAATCATCTGCGACATTTCCAACCAAATGATAAATGGTTGGAAATGTCTATAGGCGACTTGATCTATGTGGCTAAATTACAGTTGTTTAAATTTGATTGGTTAAGAAGTTTTAGAGCCTTTTTAGACATGTTTCTCATTTTTCAGATCTTTGATCGTTTTGTAAATATTGTAAAAAATTTTAATCTTGATGACACATTCGCAAGTCGACAGGTTTGGTACTTGAAGTTCTGTTCGCATTTGGCTTTCCTTGGACGTCTCACCTGAAAACAAATTTGCTTATTTTGTAACATTCGTCTACTGCAGTCACACATGAGGCTTAAGAAAAATAGGCCCTATAACCATTGGCTCAAGAGTCAGGGACACTATCTCTTGTGTTTTTCTACCTCAAATCAGTCGGAGCCAATTCGGTTCGTTTGTGACATGAGACTACGACCCGTTACAGCTTAAAGGCTACTACTAAAATATCCCCCCACTCTAGAATTAGGAACGTCCCCATACTTAGGTTTCTAGATACCCAAAATACATGAACGCCGTTAAAAACCGGGTCGGAACAATCCGCTTAGTTACTTTTTATTGGACAGTGGAACTTTGATCCATTTCAGATGGATCAACCTAAAACTCGCCTTATCTCAACATAACTATCATAAAATACACTCGAGAAATTTAAATTGAGAACTCACATGTCGATGCGCTTGAGTATGAGGAGTAATTAAAAGATGAGCAGCTCGAGAATCAAATAATATAACTAAATAAGTTTGATGCTAATTAGTTTTAACAACAGAAGTAAGTTCTGTCTCAAGAATCAAAGTTTCTGCATGAACCATCGGGACACTTGAGTTGTCCTCTCTTCCATTGAATGTTCACTCTGTTCCGTTCGAATAATCGTCCTTTCTCAATAATTATTCGAACGGAACAGAGTGAACATTCAATGGAAGAGAGGATTTATTGTAAATAACATTTGTAAATTGATGTTTTATCGTCATTTAGAGTAGTTTATTGTAAAAATCCTGACGATGCACATAGTTGCGAAAACGTTTGAAATTTACTTTTTAGCAAAAATTTCTTCGTCCTTTCTCAAGTATGTGTTCTATTCTCCTGTTTTCGGGATAAGACAGCTCTACTCTCTTATTATTTCGTGTCGAGAAATTGCGAATAGCAATTTTCTGCCTTTTTCTTGAGTAGTTTCCCGCAATTGTTAATTCGGTCGTTCTGATTTTTCACTTTTTGTTTTCAGTTGGTTCGAGAAAACTGAGCATGACAGGCTCCATTCGAAATTTTTAAAATTAAAACTTCACTCCAAAATTACGTGTTTCTCAAGGTCAAACCTCCAGACATGACCGACTGGCACATACTCCCCGGACTGGAGATCGATGTCCTCATCGCGTGTTGTCATCTGCCAGTGAGTCCCAGAGAACCGAGTGTTGCTCAAGATACAGTGCCAGTGGTCATTTACAGAAGTTTGCATCGGACTTAAGTTTATCTACCTTCCAAAATTCACAACCATATAAAATTTTCACACTATCGCTAAACAGCAATCAAAATCTGCACACACCTGCACCCATGAATCCCCGCTTTTTAAGCTGGTAATTTTAAAATTTCTTTTGTCCTATTCAGTCTGGAAAAGAGGATAGCTCCATTTGCTCAGCCACGTCCAGTAGCCGAAGCGGAAGGACACTCCTTTGATGTATCTTCCTGATTGTTTCGTTCAGGCTTCGCACTTTTGTGTTCATCTCCACTGCATGTTGATCCGCTCCCATGTTGTAGGGAACGGTACATACCGTGAGATTGGCCGGATCCATTTGGCTCATCTTGTCGTGCAGCCTTGTCAGCTTCCTTGCTTCCCCCCTGGACACGTCGTTCGTCCCGACCATCAGGGTGACCGTGTATGCACTTACCATCCTTAACATCTCAAGTGTCGCTAACATCTGCGGCGTTGCGGCTCCGGCGAAGCTCAAGATTCCCGTTTGCCAATGGGACTGGATCCGGGTCAGCACCCGCAGCAAGCTGTCCCCAATGATCAAGTGAACCACGCCTTCAGGCACTCGCGGATGCGTGAAGTACTCCACCCAAGTCGCGTCGTGGAAGCAATCTCTCCTCTCCCTCTGCGCCGCGTTCCAGTCTATCCGATTGTGCTTGCGATATCTCCCTTCCGTATTCTTCTTGTAGCTCGAGATCACCACACTCCTGACAGGTTGCTCCCCCACGTCGAGGGTAAGTCCGCTCTTGCCGGACTCTCGCGACTCCTCAGCTGTAGCCGCTTGTGCAACTCTTTCAATCGTGACGAGCAGCCACTCACCTGACTACTACCCGGGGTCGAACTCGGTGTATATCCAGGCAACGCGACGTCCATCAATGGTCGTATTACTTGAGTCTCCAAACCACGCAGGGAGGACGCTGATTCGGGCGGTATCCATACCTCCAGCCCCTCGTTCATATGTTCCTGAGCCGCACGATCGAGGTTGAATCGTCCCTTCGACCTAGGAGCTTCATCTACTTCCATGCGTGACTCTGGCCTTGAGCCAGTCACTACCCGTTCTTTGGGCCTAGCCCCTTTCTGCATATCGAGCTCGCGTTGTTGTCGCTGGATCCTCTCAAGTTTTGCCTGATCTCTCTCGAGAGCCTGCTTCAGCTGTTCACAATTCGCGGCATTCTCCCGCACCCTTTCTGCCTGTAGCTGTTCAGCTCTCATCATGTCCAGTTCTCTCCGCGCTTGATCCCTCTCAAGCACCGCTTGATCCCGGTCGAGGTTCGCCTTGTTCCTTTCCCGCTGGGTCCTCTCGAGTTCTCTCTTCATAGCACTGACGTCCGGATAAACTTCCCCCGTCTGCTGTGCCCGTGTTATCGATAGTACTTTACTCGTACTCTGGCTCGTGGACCTGACTGATGGTCTGACCGGCAGTGGGAATTCCCCCGCGCCATACTCCGTATTGTTGTTCAGGCCAGGGTTCCTCGCCAAATCGAACCCCCTTATCGCCCCATCCACGTTCCAGGACAGCCATCTGGTTTGTTCTTGATTGGACACTCCATCAGTGGTGTAGCCTACCATCAAAACCGCTTCCGTCGCAGACTCCCGACACTCGCCCTGTTCCTCCAATTGGAGGATGGCATTCAGCATCACTGCCATTCTCTCGTCCACTTGAGTATAATCCAGGTCCCTCAGCCGCCTGTACAATCCGTCAAGTGTGGGCTTTTCCAGAGCCGATGGCATGGGGATGGCATGGACTTCCAGAATCGATCTGTCATTTCTGTGATCTCAATTGAGTCCTTGAGTATTAGCAACTTGAGTTTTACCTGAGCAACTTGAGTTTTACCTGAGCAACTTGAGTTATCTTTTTGAGATATCGTTTTCTTCCTTCAATTGAATAGTCAATGTGAGTTCAACAAATCAATCTGAAAATAACACCCGATTTTTTAGACCGACAAGCTGTGTTCCTAACCAGAAAACCCCATTACTTTTATGATTAAAAACCCTCTCCTTTTCGCCCTACTAAAATAGTTCAATTGAAATTTTCTAAAAACATGCAGATACATTTTATGTTTTAGCACCATCAATCATTTAAAATAATAATTGTCATGCCAATCACCCCTAAGATCCCTTACCTGTTTTGTACCCCAGTACCTAGCTCAAGACTCCTCCCTCACACCCGACTCGACACCCCCGTGTACCCGACTCAGGCGATGCTCAAGTAGTACTTCTTATGAAGATACACCACTATCTCAGTTTCTGCAAAGACTACATGTAGGATAGCGTACAATTCCCTTGGGCTCAGTTTGCCCCTGTTTGGGTCATACACCGGCATTGAGACCTCTGTTATCCCTCTTTCAATCATGAAGTCTCGTAGTCTTGTTAGTGCCAACATTACGTGTTCGGGATCAATTGTGTTCCTATCATTGACCCTCGTCACTAGGAAGCACAGGTATTTCCCCGGGACTTGTGCTACTGATGGTGGGAGCGCTGCCATCCCTCCCAGTCCTGGTCTCTGTCTGAACAGAAACTCTACGTTCTGGTATTCTCTCTTGAAGTCAGCTTTCAGTCTTGATTTGAAACTCATGTCTGCCGTGATGCAGATCGCGCTCGTTCTGTTTGACAGGATGAAGTCACTATCTGTTATCATGATGTTTTCCGAGTACTGATTGGGTATTTCAAATTTCGTTTTGAAATTCCGGTCTATGTTAGGCTCTGGCTCTTGTTCTTCCAGTTCCAATTCGCTTGTTTCTCTCACATCCTTGAGCTTCTTTATCATCAAATTTTCGGTGTGGGTAAGTCCTACCCCCACTCCCCGGACAAAAATATTTATCGACGTCCCCGTCGATGTTGTCGGGTCTGAATTGTCCGGTGGAATGTCCAGCGGCCTGTCTGTCGCCGTCCAGCCGAAGAGAGGGTCTTCTGACTTCTTGTGTTTTTCCGCTGACACGTCGACTTGCTGGAT